TGAGGCCTATAAATAGGTTTGATTGTTCATTTGTTGATGTACAAGTTTTCTAGAGAGAATAAGAGAAACTTTGAAGTTCTTATCACTCATATTCACATTATAATGATTTCATTTTCTTGTCATCCTTTTCTTCAATTCTCCTATCATTTCTATTTATTTTATAACATGACTATATTTAATTTAGTTTTATTTTATTTTAAAAATGTCATTTTTATCAATTTTTTTGTTTTAATTTTTTAAACAAAAAATCAAAATAAATTAAAAAAAATGATTAAGCTGTAAGAAAGGTTTAAAATATAGAAATTAAATAACTAGTTTAAAAAATTATTTAATTATTTTTTGAAACTAAAAAGATTAAATTTATAATTTAGTCAATTTCTCTGATATTCGGTCCAAAAACAAAAGTTTAAAGGATAACTGAATTTCTTTCTGACATTAACTACTCCAAATTAATACAGAGAAATAGTGTGAGTGATAAGCAAAGATCAGAAAGTGGTGCCGACTCCTGTATTTGCGAATAAAATTTCTAATCTCACATTGTTTGTTTGCGAAATATAATTTATCTTCGCTAGTATAGAACGATGCAACTATTTCTTCAATGAATTCGATCGTACATATAGCTTTTTTCTTGTTTGGGAATCTGATCAGATTGTACTATGGTAGTCAGAAGTTCTATCAAACAACATTAAAAAAGGCACATGTCCCCACGAACCACGTGGCTTTCACATGGCTGGCGCGAAATTTTAAATCTTACATGGTTAGACTAGGCTCTCCTGATCTCCTCAAGGCTGCCTTGCCACGTATGTTACTGTTTCCATTTGGAAATTACCATTGGCACCACCACATCAGGGCATGGCAGCTGGTTTTGTTCCAAAATTGTCAGCATATGCAGCAAGAAGGCAAGAACCAATATTTTCAAGTAGGAGAGTGCTTTTGCGTTGGATTCTTGGTTTCGGGAAAAGTTTTCCAGAAAAATATAATAATACATATCCATAATTATCCATACACCGCTTTAAAGAAAATTTGCCGAGACGAGGATCGAAAGCTATCATGATTTGGGCAACAAACTTACTTTGTGGGGGTGCAATATGATTGTCAGAACACTTAGGGAAAAAGAAAGAGGACTTTGACATGACGTTGGCATGATCCATATCTCAGATAGGCATGCCCCTTATATAGAGTAAATTATAAATTAGTCCTTGTTTTAGAAATAAATAAATTAATTCTTTTAGTTTTAAAAATTAATTTTTTAATAATGATAATCAAGAACAATTTAATATTTTTTATTTTATAAAATATTTTTTTCAATAATTTTACTTATTTTTTATCCTTTTTTTTTTCCTTAGAACAAGAAATAGACAAATAAATAATTAGTTTTTCAAATTAGAAAAACTAATTGCTCCGTCTCTCAAAGCAAGAGGGACTAATTTAATCCCTGTAACTAAGCTCTTTTTTTTATCTGTATCAGATGGGACTTGATAAAGAACCGATCATCAGTGAGAAGAGTTAAAAAGCCTCTTGCTTTTTATTTTTTTGGTACTTGATTAGTTTGGAATTAGTTTGTGGAGAGAATAATTATTGAAGACATGATTTGACAAGTTAATAAGATAAGAATTGTGGAAACACTAGAAGAGGATAAGAAAATACTGTTTATTTTACTAGTTCTCAACGCTGATGCACATGGTTTATTAACCTAATCAATTAATATTTAAATCACACGTCTTCTTCTTCTTTTTAATTGTGGTCTTTTTGTTGCCCTCTATTTTGTTCGTATTTTCTATTATGTCACTTGATGTTTTGTAAAGTTACAATATTGATCTTTTATCATTCCTATTTTATTTATGGTTTTTCAGTTTCTTTTTTTATTTTTTTCCTCATTTGGCTTCTTTCTCAGATAGAGGATTTAATGCTATCAGCTTGAATTTCTTGCTTTATTTCTTTTCTTCTCAGTCTCAACAGAACTTGCTACCATTGAAGTAACCACATAATTATTGTTTTATTGCAAATTTGTTCTGAATTTTCTGTTGGGATTGGCTATATTGTTGATAAAAATATAATTCATATAATTTTTTTTAAATGGATATTTTAAAATCAATTCCCTTAAAATAAAATAATTAAATTTTTTTATTAAAAACAAAATCCACAATACTATACTTTTCAAATAGAAATTTTTTACCCTGATATTTTTATTATTTTGAGAATATATATATATATACACTTTAAAAAATTAATCTTTTCATCAATATTATAAAAAATTATTTTCAATTGAATTTTTTTATGCAATTTTTTAAAATTAATTTTTACTTTATTTTTTCAACGCAATATTATGAAATAAATAATTTAATTTACATATATTCTTTTAAAGATTTTTTATTAATGAAACTTACATTTCAGATTATTACAAATTTTTATTTAAGAATTCATGTAAAAAAAATCATTTTTTTTAAGAATGAAATCTATTATAAAACACAAAAAAATTAATTAAGTATAAAATTATGATTAAAAATTCATAAAGTTAGTTAATTTTTTTTTGCTTGGATTTCAATATATATATTTCAATAGATCTATATAATGACTAGGACCAAATTATAATAACTTTTTTTAAATAATTTTATTTATTATTCTCGATCTGCAGTGTGACCCAGACCAACCGCTCGAAAGCCTCTAAACAATTCAAGTAATCGTCAGACTCAGAGATTCCATCAAGAAAATACGGATCCTTTATAAACACGACACGGCTCTAAGATTCAGTACGGGGTTAAGCAACCTTGGACCGTAAAGCGACCAGGAGAAACTTTGGAGTCATACATGCAAGTGAAAACCTATCAGCTTCCTTGTAAATTCATTGCATCATACGCATGAAACTCCCACCAAACAAAACTTCAATGGAGAATATAGAAACCTAACTTTCGGACCAAGCTGGTTTAAAAAGTTGAATTCTACTATTTTAATTAGGGTCTGCAATTGTTATGAAAAAGAAAATCAGGTTTATATTTGGAAATATGCTATGTATGGAAAAAAAAAACGTTCAAAATAAATACAATGCGAAAGAAAAAAAAAAACAGAAATGCGCCATAATTTGGGAACTAAAATCATAATACTTCTTTCTTCACATGTTATAAAATCTTTATCCAATTTTTAAGCTAGCAAACCAAAACGACATGCAGTTGAGGGTTGAATCCTATAGTAATCGGTTTTTGGTATAAACTACATTATAAACCCTATAAATTCATCAATGTTCCACGTTTGTATCTCTATAATATAAAATTTTCCAATATTATCCTTATATTCTTCAAAAATTTTCAGCGTTATCTTTAAGTCAATACCCTATTGTTTGTTTCTTTTTTTTTCTTTTTTTTTTTATGTTTTCAAGTCTTTTTTATGAAATATTATAACATGCATAAGGATTTAAGACAAAAAATGAGAGTAAAATGAGAAAAGTAAAAGATAAGATTTTATATTAGTTATTTACCAATCAAGGGTTGTTAATGAATCGTTTCAATTGAAAAATTTAAACTTTTATACAAAATTTTTATAATTGACTTTATATTGACAAATGAGGGTAAAATGATTTTTTTTAGACACTTTAAGAGTAAAATTGAGAAATTTTAAATTATAGGATTAGAAGTGAGACGTTAATGAATTTATTAGGGGAAAAACAAAGTTTACCCTTTCCCTTTAAACGTTATCGTTTTATTTTTAATAAGAAGAGGTTGCAAAAATAATTTTTTTTGCAACACATTGATGGTCTATTGAAATGTAATTAGAAAAAAAGAAGATAATATCTATATATATAAATATATGTGTGTGTCCAACAATATTGGAATGTTAAAAGGAATAAAATAAAACCAAAAAACGAAGATTGCCATTTCTAATCCTTTTTTTTTTTTTTTTTTTTTTTTTTGTTTTTTAAAGAATTGATGGTTAAACTATAAGGATTGGCTATAAAAGTTTTGGATTTTTAATTAAGAGCTTTAGTATTTAAACCTTACTTGTTACGTTTCTTGTGGCATTAGGTGTGCTTTTCTTACTCTAAAAATGTGAGAAACTTGAATTTTTTGTTTAAAATGAATCTATACGACTATACCTATTAACATAGGATGAGGGATGATGATGATAATAATAATAATAATAATAATAAAAGGATAGTTATTAATACTACTTGTGTTCACAAAAAGGGGCATAACGATGAATAAAAGACATTTGAATGTTAAAATGGGAAGAGCAAAAGGAAGTTAAGAAGTGAGAAAGTAGAAATTTTATAATACTCTAACATTAGCTATCGATATGTCTAATAATAATTCTATGAGTCTATTTATTCTATAAGTCTTTTTTTCAGAAGAAAGATAAAAAAAATTAAAATTAAAAAAATTGAGTTAAGATAGTTTTTTAAAAATATTTTTAATGGGTATAAATATAATTTCACATTAGCTCTTTTTTTTAAAAAAATCTATGTTTTTGTATTTATTTTTTTAAAAAAATTAAATATTTAAATATTATAAAATTTATCGCGAGAAAGCATCTCGATCCTCGAAGAGTGAAGAGAAGGGCCCATACGTACTTGTTCTGCCCATACGTTCGATCTCAAATGTTTCTGTATGTTATGGCTCTGCGCTCGGCTCCTTATATGCTCCTTGGAATACGACAACCTTAACGTAATCCAAACTTCCCAAATTTTAATAATCTCAATCTCTATCTCCGCTTCTCTGTATTCTTCTTATAAATATTCTGTATCTTTAAATTACCGCTTAATAATATAATTTCCGTTTTGCTGCTTCTGGTAATCTATTCATTTCATTCTCTTTTCTAGGAAAATCACCAAAGGAACTTTCTCTCTTTCTTATATTTCATTTTTCCCTTTTTTTTTGTCGGTGATTTGTTTATACTAGAAAAAATATAGAATTGAAAGAGCCTGAGCGTGAGCCTCTGAGTTAGTGATCAGTCGATTGCTATCTGAGCAAGAGAGAGCGAAGAGTAAGCGACAATAAAAACATAAAAAGATGGGAGAAGCAGCTCATAACCACCAACAGCCACCGCCACAGCAAGCGGCGGCAGCAGCAGCAGCACCACCACCAGCGCCATCACTCGCTCTTTCAAAAGGTCCCACTTGGACTCCGGCTGAACAACTCCAGCAGCTCCAGTACTGCATCCACTCGAATCCTTCCTGGCGTTAGTTCTCTTATCTTTTTGCCTTTTTGTGATTCATAGCCTTTTAGTTTAATTATCTTATTTAAATTCTCTTATTCAATCCTGCAGAAGAAAAGTTAATATAGTCAGTTTTTTTTGTTAAAGTTTGACGCTTTTTTATCTGCACCGCTTTAGTACATAATAAAATATTCTAGTTTATGCATGTCACCATCCATCTCTTAATCTAAATTTGGCTGATCCTCATACCTCTGGTTCTGATTCTTTTTCTAAATTTCTGAAAGTTTTAATTATTCTTTTTTTGGGTCTGAATCCTGGTGGGCTTCCTGTTATTAATAATATATGTAGGTTGAATAGCTAATTGTTCTGAATTATTTGTGAACTATGCGAATATTTAACAATGAAATCAAGTATCTAATTCTTGTATCTAACCACAGCTGAGTCATTTCTACTGGCTTTCCAACACTATATTGTGAGCCTTGGAACTACGGTCTTGATTGCACGTAATCTTGTGCCTCAAATGGGCGGGGACCCTGTAAGTTTTATTCGCCATCTGAATTTTAATATTGATGATTTATAGGTCAATTGGTAGTTGGTTGTCTTTTAATCTGGTTTTGGTGTGACCGTGAACAGGGTGATACTGCCCGTGTGATTCAAACGTTGCTGTTTATGGCAGGAGTCAATACACTGCTTCAGACAATCATTGGAACACGGCTTCCCACAGTGATGGGTCCTTCATATGCTTTTGTACTGCCAGTGTTATCAATCATCAGAGATTATAGTGATGAAACTTTCTCAAATGAGCATGATGTAATGAGTTATTAAGCTTACTAAATTAGTCTGTTGATTAGTTTGTTTTAGCTTCGATCATGATTTATTCTACTATTTTCCTGATTACCAATCTTTTTCCGGTTGCAATGATGTGGTCGATTGCAGAGATTTGTACACACTATGAGAACTATACAAGGATCACTCATTGTTTGTTCCTTTACCAACATCATTCTCGGGTATAGCAAAGCATGGGGTAATTTGACAAGGTAACTTGATCATCATCTTGACTTGGAATTCGTTCTACTCATCTACTTTGCTTACAATTTTTTTTCTCTCAGTAGTAGTGGCTCGAGTTCTATTGTAGAAACTAAGAAGGGTCTCTTCATTATATTGTTTTGTAATGCTTTTCGTTCTTTATTTTCATGTTTCCAGGTTCTTTAGTCCCATTACTGTCGTACCTGTGGTTTGTGTTGTGGGTCTTGGTCTATTTATGAGGGGCTTTCCGCTTGTAAGTTCACTTATTGAAATGAAGAATATTTGGTCGGTGAAGGTGAAAGTTGATTATCACAACGATCTTTTTTTAATTTTTTTTATGCTCTCTACAGCTTGCCAACTGTGTGGAGATTGGCCTGCCTATGCTGATTCTGCTTGTTATTTGTCAGGTAATATACCTTCTTCAAAATGTTAAGTTAATTACATGAAAATCCTCATCATGTTATCACAAATCATAATGTTTGCTGCAGTATTTGAAGCATCTCCATCCCAGGACCCATCCTCTACTTGAGAGGTTTAGTGTACTCGTCTGCATTGGTATTATTTGGGCTTTTGCTGCTATCCTCACTGTTGCTGGTGCTTACAACAATGTGGGGAACCAAACCAAACAGAGTTGCCGCACAGACCGATCATATCTTATAGCATCTGCTTCATGGTACTGGTTTTGATTATTTATCTTTTTTGGTTTGGTAGAGTTAATATTTTTATCTGGAAAAGAAAAGAGTTAAAGTACCCTGTTTACTGAAAATCATCTCCTTTTTTTTTTTTTTTTTTTTTTAAGGGTTAAAGTCCCATACCCCTTTCAATGGGGTGCACCTATATTTAGAGCAAGTCATGTCTTCGGGATGATTGGGGCAGCACTTGTTTCGTCTGCAGAGGTTTGTTCACCATTTCAGAAATACCTTTTTTGTCTTCCATTTATTCTGGAGGCACTTTGTGAGTTTTAATTAACTTACAGGGCCTTTGATATGAATTCCTAATTGTTTGCTCTTTATGATTATGAATATGGTTTAAGACCTGCCTGTTTCATTGATGGATGTGAGAAATTTTCTTTTAAGTATTCATTTTCCTAACCATTCCATCTACTTTTGATGCAGTCAACTGGAACATTTTTTGCTGCTGCACGGCTTGCGGGCGCTACACACCCTCCAGCTCATGTTCTTAGCCGAAGTATTGGTCTACAGGTCTCGTCACTGTCACTGAGAACTATGCCACACCCAGAAACCCAACCCCACCCCCCTCCTCTCTTCAAAGTTAGTCATCAACACCTAATGGTTGTTGTTTTTTAATATAGGGTGTTAGCTTGCTGCTTGATGGAATTTTTGGTGCTGCTGTTGGTACCACTGCATCTGTGTAAGGGACCTTTTTTTTTTCCTTCCTTCAGCTTGCTGCTGCTCATCTAAGATTAATTATCTGATACTTGAGGTACTGCAGCCTCAGTTGCTATGTGAAATAATGCAAGCTTGCCTGTGTGACTGTTTCCTGCATCTACCACATATATTTTACCTAGAGCAGTAGGAATAGCTGATCGCATCTGATCAAGAGCCCTGTACTCATTTGATAGAACAGTAGGAAAAGTTGGATATTAAATGGACAAGTCATGCGTTTCCATTGGAATTTAGGCCTTTTCTTTTTATTTATTTTACTTGTTTAATAGAAACCAAGTATGTGAGGTTATCAGACCAATGAAAGTCGCCCACGACTTTTTTATCGTGCATTTTCTTCTTAAAGAAACAAATCTTGGAACTGAAATATAAGTAAAATGTCCTTTTCCGGATTACACTCTTATTTCTTCTATAATTTGCTTATCATATTAAATCTCATCTCACATGCTGAACCTATGATTGGCAAAGCTTTTTTCATTGGTGCTTTGATGATCTTTTTAGGCTAACCGCTTTAGAATTAGCTTTTTAACATAATGCAGCTGCCACATAGGTGGATTGTGTATTTTTGAAAAGCATGTCTTATCTTTAGTAGAGTGGTGCTAAAAGGGGAAAAGGGCACAGTTTGACTATCACTATTAAAATTCAGAGGCCTGTTTCGTTTACTGATCAAATAATTTTGCAGTGAAAATGTTGGGCTTCTTGGACTCACACACATAGGGAGCCGAAGAGTGGTGCAGATTTCAACTGCTTTCATGTTCTTTTTCTCCATCTTTGGTATGTCTTCAATATCCATCATAAGTTCAGTAAGAAAATAGCACAAGGTTCAAATTCATTTTTATTTTGGTACCTTGCATCTTTCAGGGAAATTTGGTGCCTTGTTCGCGTCTATTCCACTGGCAATATTTGCTGCCATATACTGTGTTTTATTTGGCATTGTTGGTGAGTGATTTGTAGGTTTTGAAATTTTAGTCTGCTTTAATTATATGCCATCTGTCAATGATCGTTTCCTTTCCTGCAGCTGCAATTGGGATTTCGTTTATACAGTTTTCAAACAATAATTCCATGAGAAACCACTATGTTTTGGGTCTGGCCTTGTTCCTTGGGATGTCAATACCCCAGTATTTTGTCAGTAATACCACGGGGGATGGACATGGACCAGTTAGAGCAGATGGTGGATGGGTAAGTCGCATAAAAACACCTCAAGCCTTCTCCTTTTGGTTTGCTACGTCTTTTGGGCATCATTTAATTCCTCTATGCTGTTCATCCAGACCACCACCACCTCCTCCTAGTATTTTAATATAAAATTGCGTAATATATCTACCCAAAAAAAAAAAGAATTTAACCTTTTCCTCCCCAAAGTGGATACTACCAGTATGCAATAAGAAATATTTTTGTGAATGCTTTCGGATTTTAATGAATGAGTGTCATTAGAATGAGCTTTATGACTTCACACTCTGTGGCTGAATGACATGTATACTTTTTGATTCTGCAGTTCAATGACATATTGAATACACTTTTCTCATCACCACCAACAGTAGCGATGATTGTTGGGACGTTGCTTGATAACACATTGGACGCAAGGCGCACAGTAAATGACCGAGGAATTCCATGGTGGAAGCCTTTCCAGAGCAGGAAGGGTGATGTTAGAACTGAGGAGTTCTACAGTATGCCCCTCAGGATAAACGAGTGGATGCCCACCAGATTTCTTTGAAAAAGCTTCACTTGTATATTAAATATGCCATGGGCGAATTCCAAGCTAGCATGCATGATGAGGCCTATGAGTTGTTGCAAAGAACTGTAACTGTTAGCCATAAAGTAGGAGTTTTCCTTTTCGTTTGTTTGGCAGGCTAGCCATCTCCTTGACTTATCTCCGTTACTCGTAATACTACACAAGGTTTTGTTATAGTCTAAGGCTGCTAACCCACAGGAAGTGTGCATTGTGAAATGAAGACGGATCTCTGTGCGGAAAGAATGTCAGAAGCAAAAAAATTTAGTCGATTAAGACTTGCCACGAATGAAGAGAAGTGCTTATAAACCATATATATTGAATTGTACCAATACTGAAGTTGATCGTTAAGTTAATCTATTATTATTATAAAATTCACTCACCGTCGGCCATGATTACTGGTGCCTCCTTAAGTATTTGGCTTCTATATATTTGTCTATTTTTTCGTTGTGAGAAAGTAATCAACTCCATTTTTGGCTGCTCATTTCATGCGTTTAAATTGGAGCGGATCCTTGCATCTCCTCAAAATAATTCCTCAACATTTAATTGCAACAAATCAACCCCTTCAATCAATTTCAATAAAAGGCAATTTGATATATATATATTTTTTTTTGTTTTTTTTTTCTTTTTCAATAATGCGTGGCATTTAATTGGGAAAAAGTCGGATGAAAGGACTCAAATCAACTTCAATAGAAAGTTAGGGGCCGATTTTACCCTACTTGAACCAGGGTGCTTGATTTGATCAAAATTCAAATGTCTGGTGGAGGGGCCATGTGCCATTTTAGCCTCCATTTTAACAGTCGCATGAAAGAAAACAAGAAAGTTTAATTTGGATTTGATCTCTATGTAATTCTTCTCGCCATTGCCTGACGCGACGAAAATTTTATTTTTTAATTATTACTAAGACTCTAAAAAACAATTACGTTCCAACTATTCACGATTCTATTCATCTCTTATATATATATATATATATATATATATTGTAATTCAACTATAATAAAGTATTTATAATCTAATAATCGATATAGTTGCTTTTCAAATAAAAAAATCGAGTTTGACTCTCGACAAACGCATTTATGCTTTGAATTCAACTACAATAAAGCATTTATAGTCTAATGGTCGATATAGTTGCTTTCCAAATAATAGAATCGGGTTTGACTCTCGACAAACACATTTATGTTTTGATTTTTTTCCCCATATATATAAGACATTGGATTGTGACTACTCGCAACCATATTCATCACTTTTTTTTCTTTTTTTGGTTTCAAGTTGTTGTTTTCTTTTTTGCCCTCTTTGTTTTTTTCATCAAATTTGGTTTTTTTTTTATTTAATTTTTCCGTCCACTGTTCACCTTTTTTTCTTTGTTTCGAGAATTGAGCGCTTTTTTCTTTTTTAAAGCTATTGTGAATCCATGTCTTTTCTCTTTCTTTTGCCTTTTTTTTTTTCCATCAAGTTGGGTTCTTTTTTTTTAAAATAAAATTTTTTAGGTTGTTTCATTTTAGTCTCTTAAATTTTAATTCCCTAACTGATGTACTTTTCATGCCTTTTCTTTCTTTTTTTTTTCTATTAATTTATGTTCTTTTTTTTAATTAGGTGTTAAAATTTTAAAAAATCAATCGTTACTTTTTTCACACAAACTAATAATTATATAACATATACGATATTTTTTATATTTATACGATATGTTTTTGGATTATATATATATATATATATATATATATATATTTTTCAAGTTGTTTTACTATACATGTCTTTTTTTCCTTTGCTTTTTCCCATCAATTTAGGTTCTTTTTTAATTTTTAGGTTGTTTCATTTTGGACTCTAAAATTTTAAAATAAAAAATTTAATCCTCTAACGGATGCGCTACTCATGTCTTTTTTTCTTTGCTTTTTTCCATCAATTTATGTTTTTTTAATTTAATTAAGTGTTAAAATTTTTAAAAATCAATCGTTACTTTTTTTACACAAACTAACGATTATATAATATATATGATATGTTTTTGGATTTTATTACGATATATATATATATTCGTTTCAAGTTGTTTTACTATACATGTCTTTTTTTCCTTGCTTTTTTTCATCAATTTAGGTACTTTTTTTTAATTCACTTTTTTGAATTTTTAGGTTGTTTCATTTTGGTCTCCGAAATTTTAAAATAAAAAATTTAATCCCCTAATGGATGCACTATTCATGTCTTTTTTTCCCTTTGCTTTTTTCCATCAATTTATGTTCTTTTTTTTATTTAATTAAGCGTTAAAATTTTGAAAAATCAATCATTGCATTTTTCCATACAAATTGACAATTATATAACACGACTCATGTCTTTTCTTTTTCCTTTGCATTTTTTCATCAATTTATGTTCTTTTTTTATTTGATTAGGTGTTAAAATTTTAAAAAATCAATCTTCACTGTTTTTCCACATAAAATGAAGATTATTTAATATATACGATATTTATTTATATTTATAAGATATTTTTTTAGATTTTAGAATAAATATAGGGTACACTTATTGTTTAAAATTGATTTTTTTCGATAAAAATTCTCATAAAGTTAATTTTTATTCTTATTTTTATCTATGTATGGATTCGAATAAGCTTTTTTAATACCTATTTTTTTTTTTTTTTGCTTAATTCTTATATAATCAAATTTTAAAAATTGAATATATGTATTTTATTTTCTTATTTTTTACATAATCAAATTTTATCGAAATCTGTTTTATAGTTTTTATTGCACTCTATTAACTAAAATATGTATTTTATCATTTGATTTTTTAAAAATATTTTTTAATTTATTTTATACATTCTCACATATTGAGTACGATCATGATGTATTGAAAATAATAACGTTACACTCATTGATTTTATAGAAATCGCATCTATACACATAATACCAACTATTCACTATTACTTTTTTAATATTTAAAATGATTTTAAAAATAAAATAATTGAAATAATATTTTAGAATAACCGCCTAATAATTCAAATACAATTTTTTATGCTAACACTATTCATTATTTTGTAAATAAATATATATTTTTTAAAAAATAATCTTCTCATCAATAAAAAAATTTCATTTGTTAATTTTCATGCAAGTTTTTATACTAATTATTGCTTTATTTCTTCGATACAATGTAATGAAAAAAATATTAAGATGTTTTTTTTAAAATTTTTATATTAAAATTTGTTTATTATGCGTTTTCTCTTAAGAATAAATGTACAAGAAAGAAAAAATCATATTTTTTTACTTTAAAATTTATCTTTTATATTTAATTTAATATATTTTAATTAATCGATAACATAATATATGTTATCGATTGAAATAAATATATTTAGTTCAATCCGCAACGTTGCACGAGAATTGAAACTATTTATATGTCTAAAATTCTTATTCGTTTACTATTCATATGCATAGAATTACAATTCACTTGATGTCAATTTAAGTAATTTTTATGTGTTTTTGGACATTAATATGCAAATTTAACACTTTTTCTATTTTGCATCCCTCGTGTTGTAACATTTTTTTTTAATCCTTAGTTTTCTTTCATTTTCATGTAGCATATATATATATATATAACACTATCTTTTTATATTTTAAAATTAATATATACTTCAGCTTATATTACTCTTATCATTTAAATTTTATTATTTGAATTTATCATTTTTTATGAAAATTCTCATTCAATTAATATTTTATATATGATTTTATTTATTGATAAATATAATTTATTTTTCTCTATATTTGAATTTTAGAATAAAATTGTAAAACATGACTGTTTTTTCTTTTTTTTAAAAGTAAATTGGTATAATATATATCATAAATTCTTAGAATTTTTAAATGACGATTGCGCACATATAAATATATAATTATTTTATTCTAAAAGGTTAAAAGTGTGTTTCAAATAATTTATCTCGGTTCACTAGGTATGGTCAAAACATATAAAAAAAAAAAAAACTATTGAATCGTTAATTCTATTAAAAATTAGCTATACATCTTTCAATATAATACAAATTATTTATTATGGATATATATTTTTAACATTATAGAAACAATTTATTTGAAATAAAATAATTAAAATAATTTTTTAAAGGAACTAACCAATTCTTCAAATATAGTTTTTTACGCTAATTTTGTTGATTATTTTGCAAACAAATATACATAGATCTAATGCATATACTTGAAAAAAAAAAATCTTCTCACCAACAATAAATCAAAATAATTTTTTTTCATTGGTTAGTTTTTATGCAATCCTATACATTAATTGTAACTTTATTTTTTTGATACATTCTTATAGCCAAATATAGTTTTAAGGTATTTGCTTTTGAATTCTTAATTAATATTTCAGGTTTAAATTATTATAATATTTTATTTAAAAATTCGTAAATAAAGAAGAATAAATCATGTTTTTTAAGAAAAAAATTATCAAAAACACAAAAAAAAAATTGTAATAATTAAATAAAAAAACTATAAAAATTTTAAATGATTTTGTTCTATCTACCCGTAGCATTGTATGGATAATTTAAAAAATTAATCTTCTCATTAGCATTAAATAAAAAAAATCATTTATTAATTTTTATAAAAGTTAGTTTATTAATTATAACTTTTTTGTTTTGGAATACAATACTATGAAAAAATATATTTTTATAGTTTTTTTTAATTATTGATTAATATTTTAGTTAAAATTATTATATTTTATATTTTAAAATTAATCCATAAAAATGATTTTTGTTTTTTTAAATAAAAAAATTAAAAAAATAAAAAATAAAAAATTTGAAATAATTTTTTTCTATCGCATCTGCAGCATAACGCAGGTAAGCAACCAGTAGAAATGCGCTTGCGGTGATCTTCGTTCTTTCACTGAAAATTTCGGTAGTTTAATAGAGCATTTCAAATTGTTCAGTTCAAAAGAATAAAAAAACACACATAATACATATATATAGCATGCGTGTATTGTTGCTCACTGGTTCAATTATTTTAAAATTTCTTCATAAGAAAGAAAGGACTTCCTGTGTTTTTAAACTGGAGGCTTCCAACATCAGGTAAAGTTCCAGGAAGGTACGTAGCAAGAAAGCCAAGAAACTGACCAAAGTAGATGTTGACCACACAATTCCAGTGCAGAGAGTTAACATTTTGAGAGCGACGGATTAAGAATATTTCATGGGGTCCACGCGGCACTCAATTTAGCTACACATCTCTTCCCGCGTTTTCTAAATCGCAGGATAAATCCAAGTATCCAACTAGGCCTGCAGGCCCCAGGGAGGGAAACAAAACCTGACTTGCAATTATTTGGTCATCCAATGATCCAAATACCAAGTCCTAACTTAGAAAAGCTGCTTCATATATCTCGTCCACTTATGCTCCCAGCAGCCTGTCACTGTCTTCTTTTTCTTTTTCTGGGCTCCAGCAGTCCTTGATTGCTGATTGATCGAACATGATAAACGGTTTCTCGCAAAGAAATAGTGGTCAATGTTTGTGCAAAGCTTTCATAACCAAACCATGAACAGGATGTTTTCACCAGGAAATAAAATACATTATGGACAAGTATGGCATTTTACAAGGCAGGAGAGAAACACAATAACCAAAAGCTATGCTGCAATTTGCCTCAAAGAACTATATACATTAGGCATGATCTACAATTAATTAATAATCATCAAGCCAGTCCAGATTGAAACATTTTTCTGCAACTTGGACATCAAGATTAACCTTCTTCAAATCCTTCCATAACCAAGAAACATCTTCGTCGCAGATTACTTTACGTAAAGACTCTAAGGATGCAGCAGAATTTGGCAGCTTCATTAGCGAGCATTCTCTCATGTCAATCTTCTCCAACCTAGATAGTTTACCAATCCACTCAGGAAGAGCTTTCAAATTGACACATTGCGATATATCTAAGAACTTCAACCAAACTAGGTCACATACACACGATGGGAGAGTTTTCAGTGATGGGCATGCATACAACCTTAGAATTTGTAGATATTTTAAGTTGCCCATATTTGGAGGTAGTTTCTCTAGGTTGTGGCAATTGGTGATACTCAGACTCTTGAGTGAGTGCATCCTACAAATGCTGGAAGGCAACTGCACTAAATCTTCACAGTGATCGATTGTAAGCTCTGAGAGAGAAGGAAAGATGTGGGATAAGTCTATGACAGACTCATCAAGGCTGTTGTTTATCTTGCAGAGGATTAGAGATATTTTTCGTAAATTTTTTAAAGGGAGAGTAGATTCAGATAATCGAGCAAAGGATACTTTCTCAAGCCAAAGGCTCCTCAAATGAGCTAAATTGGAAAAAACGGAGAAATTGCCAATGGTTGCATTGCTTGTACTGTAATTTATCATTACCAATGCCCTGAGCTTTGGCATGTCATCGATGAAAGGAGGCAAGAAGAACTCGTTTGCAGAAAAGTTCAGGACAAGCACTTCAGCCTTGGGAAAATCCATGCGGAACCAATCCATTTCCTTCATTTCACCTATTTAGCAGAATCAAGAAAGAGTAAGCATCGGAAAAATGAAACTAAAACTACAATCTCATTAAATTGTAAAGATTAATAACCTTATATAATGCAAAGCAATCAAGAAAGGTAATGGAGATACCTGTATGAATTGAAACAATTTGAGCTTTGAATGGTTGATCCACATTTCTCTCCCATTCTTTTGGAAGCTGTGCTTCTCTTCTTGGCATAAGCAATCGCTTGCGCTCATTTATGTCTCCACGAGTGCTCAAATGAATAGCAAGGTCCCGCAACACATCATGTTGCATCACACAAATCTCATAGTAACTGCTATACATATCTCCAGCTCTGCAAATTAACCAATCAAAGGCTTCAGAAAGAAGGATCATCCCTTCTAAAATAAGATCAATTTAGTTACTTGGCTTTTATTAACATACCGTGCATCCTTCACCAGGGTGAGAAGATTCTTGTCTGAAAGCTCAACAAGGATAGCAAATGCTTCTTCCTCGTCAAGGTCATGTATCTCAACCCACATGTTGATGAGAACATCGAGAGGGATCTTCTTGTCTTCGGGGAAGGATCCCAAATCCAAGAAACATTCCCTGACGTTTTTAGACAAGAACTGGGTACTAATGGCCATCCTATCAAGCAACTTGCTTTCATGAGACTCGCAAATAGGTTCCCCTCTTGACAGCCTCTTTTTCGCACTTGCCCAATACATTTCAGGTTGGTCCCTTAGTGAAGCTCCAATCACTTTGAGAGCCAAGGGTAAGCCTTTACACTCGTCAACAATCTAGAAATCACATTATCATTAGTATTGGCAAAGAAAGTAGCTAACTAGTCAATTTCAAGATCCATCGCTTAATCTCAACTTTGTACCTAAAGGAGACAGTGCATCGAATATTACCTGCTTCACCAAATTTGAATCAGCAGCAGGTGGAATAGATGTCTTTCCAAAAGCAGAGTAGCAAAACAAGGAGATTGCTTCATGTCCGCTCAACAATTCTACATTGTAAGTAGCATTAAAAACTGTCGGGAATTTGAAACGCGAAACCACCAGTGTCTTGCATCCGGCAAATTTAAAAATGAGCTGCTCAAGCAACGAGGGTGACCACACATCATCAAGAACAATCAACGTTGGGGCTCCAATTCTCCATTCAAATTGGAAATTCCATTGTGGGACCAAATCATTGCCCATGCCACCCATTCCATCAGTCCCTGTAATAAACCCCCAAATTTTCGCCCTCAATTGCTCCACATTCGGAGACTGTGATACTGTCAAGAACAAAATCCTGTTCTCAAAGTGACCTGAAAGAAATTAAGATCAAGAGAGTCAGCTAAAAGCCATCTTGTCGAAAATAAAAGAATGACCATATGCTAATCACCAATTCCTTCAGCCAGTAGCAAAAGAATCTAAAACAAGTAAATTTCAAATAGGAATGTATCCTTTCTATGAAGTTTGTATTTCTTTTTGCTTCTTTAAAAGTTGAATTATGAAGATGGCAGAAAGAAAGAAAAAGAAAATACATAGATAGTAAAGGAAATTGGGAGCTTACATCTAACTTGATCATCTCTACAAATTTCATTAGCCAGAGTAGTTTTGCCAGACCCACCAATTCCACAAATCCCAACAACATTTAAGTTCTCTCTCTTCATAACCATTTCTTTCACCTTCCTCTTCCCTTCTTCAATCCCCACCCCCAAATAAAAATTATTCCCAAAACTACCCTCCCACTTCCTCTCCTCCTCCTCCACCCGCTTCACCGCTTCCTCCATCCAGCCACCACCACCTCCCACCCCGATCTTCAAATTGCCAATCCTCTCCTCTAACCTCTTGGATGACCACTCTAACTTATCGAACCTCTCTGTAGTTTCAAACCTCATGTGATGCACGTCAGCTAATAAATGTGCCTGTAAAGGCCCATTGATAAACATGGATATTTTCTTTTCGATCTTTTCCATCTTTCTAGCTAGCTGCAGGTTTTTGTAGACGTTCCAGCGGTTCGAAGCTAATACTTTGCGGGAGAGCTCAAGGCCTTCAGCGAGAGTGCGAGAGAGACGGTCGAGTTGGAATTGGCGGTTGGAAGGGAGTTCAACACCGGAGAATTTGATTTCTTGAATGATAGGCATGAGTTCGTTTATGCTTCCCAATAAAGATTCTGCACTTGATTTGCATAAGCAGGATTTTCTTGATATTGCTAATAGCATTTTGAGGAGTTCGGTGGCTACCTCCCCTGCAAAGAGGTCTGTGACCACCATGGGCACTGGTTCTGGTTGTGGCTGTGGTTGTCGTTGTGGTGAGCGAAGTCTGTTTTTGTGTGTGTGTGTGTGTTTTGTTTTTATGAGAAGAGGGAAGGGAACGAAGAAGAGAAGATATGACTTTTGGTGGGGAAATGTGAGAATGGGTCAATGCGATGCAGGACAGCCAATATGACCAAGTGCGATTTAAAAGTGCTTTTGATTTTTTTTTTTTTCCAAAATGTTTTGGAAAATTAAAAATTACTTAACACAATAATCATATATCATCGCACAATTTTGGGATTTGGAAAAATTGATATGATAGTTGTAACAACTAAGAATCCAATTACATTAAGAATCTCGATCGAGAAATAATTTCCTCTTGCTTACGAGGAAACCTTCTCCTCCTCCTACATACATGTTCATGGTGGTATTTTGATGATAGGAGGAAGTTTTTTGAAAACTTTGGGAACAATAATGTTCCCCTCACTTAATAAACAAAACCCAATTTTTCATTGTCTTTCAGTTACCCATCTTAACTTAAGATCTAAAAACACTTGAAGGGCATAAGAGAGAACTTACCCTAAATGTTCTACCTTGCATTTGCATAGAATTTTATATTATGAAATTTATCTTATCAATTTAACAGCTGCATAAGCGTACAGAATATATATATATATTTCAAAGATAAGGAAAAATGGATAGTTGGAATTTGTTTTTTAGAATTTGCCTTTGAGGGGAAAAAAAAAAAAAAGTATAACGAAGTGGAAGGAACCACTAATGTGACCAAAAATTAACGATGGCCTGTATATTAATCACATTTTTCTTACAACGATCCTTGTCACTCTTCCACATCCCTCTGCCATATTTCACATGGGTTTCTTTTTTCATCTTCTTTCTGCTATCCAAGCTGATGAGGTGCTACTCTACAATAACAACTATACTACACAACATATCACATGAAGACAGAGTTTTGCCTATATTTAGATCTTTTATTTTTTAAATTATTTTGATTAAAAAATTTTATTCGTTTTTATTATTAATTGAGATCCTCTGTTTTTCGTTTTGTATTATTTGAAATCCTTTTGTTATGTTTTTCTTTTTTTTAAAGCATAGGCAAAACCCTAACAAATCTTATTAGAAGAAAAAATAAATACAAGGAGGATAAATCTAGCTTTATCTGAAAAAAGAGACAAAAAAGCCTAAACCCTCAAAGAAAACAAACATGCTACTTTATATAATTATAAAGACCTAATCTATCATGCTTACAAGCTACTTTAACATGAATAGGGACATCATCATAAGAAAAAAATTTACAATAGTTTTCATGATTATAAGGCTCATTCGCCAATCTATCTCCTACAATGTTCTAGTCCCTTCAAACATGAGAAATAATATGATAAGCCATCAAATTTTTAAACTAGCGAATAAGATATATATAATGTCATGGAACAACAACTACCTTCAAAATGGAATTAATAGCAATAAAAAAATTTGAATTTACCAAACTAACAAATCTTATTAGAAGAAAAAATAAGTAAATGAAGGATAAATCTAGCCTTACCCGAAAAAAAAAAAAGAGACAAAAAAGCCTAAACCCTCAAAGAAAACAAACACGTTACTTTATATAATTATAAATACCTAATATATTATGCTTACAGAGTTACTTTAACATAAATAGGGACATCCCCATAATAAAAAAAAAAAATATTATGCTTACAAGGACATCGCCATAATAACAAATCTTTTTTGAAGAAAAAATAAATACACGGAGGATAAATCTAGCCTTACTCGAAAAAAAAAAAAGAGACAAAAAAAGCCTAAACCTCCAAAACAAACAAACCGTTACTTTATATAATTATAAAGACCTAATATATCATGCTTACATGCTACTTTAACATAAATAGGGACATCATAATCGTAAAAAAAATTACAATAGTTTTCATGATTACAAGGCTCATTGGCCAATCTATCTCCTACAATATTCTTCTCCCTTCAAACATGAGAAATAATATGATAAGCCATCAAATTTCTGCACTAGCGAATAAGATATATATAATGTCATGGAACAATAACTACCTTCAAAATGGAATTAATAGCAATAAGGAAATTTGAATCTGCCAAACAATTCTTATTAGAAGAAAAAATAAGCAAAAAAAATGGATAAATCTAGCCTTACTCGAAAAAAAAAAAGACAAAAAAGCCTAAATCCTCAAAGAAAACAAACACGTTACTTTATATAATTATAAAGACCTAATATATTATGCTTACGAGTTACTTTAACATAAATAGGGACATCACCATAATAATAATAAAAAAATTATTATGCTTACAAGGACATCACCAAAATAACAAATCTTTTTTGAAGAAAAAATAAATACACGGATGATAAATCTAGCCTTACCCGAAAAAAAAAAAAAGAGACAAAAAAGCCTAAACCTCCAAAACAAACAAACTGTTACTTTATATAATTATAAAGACCTAATATATCATGCTTACAGGCTACTTTAACATAAATAGGGACATCATAATCGTAAAAAAATTTACAATAGTTTTCATGATTACAAGGCTCATTGGCCAATCTATCTCCTACAATGTTCTGCTCCCTTCAAACATGAGAAATAATATGATAAGCCATCAAATTTCTGCACTAGCGAATAAGATGTACATAATGTCATGGAACAACAACTATCTTCAAAATGGAATTAATAGCAATAAGGAAATTTGAATCTACCAAACTAAAAAATCTTATTAGAAGAAAAAATAAGTAAATGAAGGATAAATCTAGCCTTACCCGAAAAAAAAAAGAGACAAAAAAGCCTAAACCCTCAAAGAAAACAAACACGTTACTTTATATAATTATAAAGACCTAATATATTATGCTTACGAAGTTACTTTAACATAAATAGGGACATCACCATAATAAAAAAAAATTATTATGCTTACAAGGACATCGCCATAATAACAAATCTTTTTTTGAAGAAAAAATAAATACACGGAGGATAAATCTAGCCTTACCCGAAAAAAAAAAAAAAAGAGACAAAAAAGCCTAAACCTCCAAAACAAACAAACTGTTACTTTATATAATTATAAAGACCTAATATATCGTGCTTACAGGCTACTTTAACATAAATAGGGACATCATAATTGTAAAAACATTTACAATAGTTTTCATAATTACAAGGCTCATTGGCCAATCTATCTCCTACAATGTTCTGCTCCCTTCAAACATGAGAAATAATATGATAAGCCATCAAAATTCTGCACTAGCCAATAAGATATATATAATGTCATGGAACAACAACTAACTTCAAAATGGAATTAATAGCAATAAGGAAATTTGAATCTACAAAACTAACAAATCTTATTAGAAGAAAAAATAAGTAAATGAAGGATAAATCTAGCCTTACCCGAAAAAAAAAGAGACAAAAAAGCCTAAACCCTCAAAGAAAACAAACACGTTACTTTATATAATTATAAAGACCTAATATATTATGCTTACGAGTTACTTTAACATAAATAGGGACATCACCATAATAAAAAAAATTATTATGCTTACAAGGACATCGTCATAATAACAAATCTTTTTTTGAAGAAAAAGTAAATACACGGAGGACAAATCTAGCCTTACCCGAAAAAAAAAAAAGAGACAAAAAAACCTAAACCTCCAAAACAAACAAACCGTTACTTTATATAATTATAAAGACCTAATATATCATGCTTACAGTGCTACTTTAACATAAATAGGGACATCATAATCGTAAAAAAATTTACAATAGTTTTCATGATTACAAGGCTCATTGGCCAATCTATCTCCTACAATGTTCTGCTCCCTTCAAACATGAGAAATAATATGATAAGCCATCAAAATTCTGCACTAGCGAATAAGATATATATAATGTCATGGAACAACAACTACCTTCAAAATGGAATTAATAGCAATAAGGAAATTTGAATCTACCAAACTAACAAATCTTATTAGAAGAAAAAATAAGCAAAAAAAAAGGATAAATCTAGCCTTACCCGAAAAAAAAAGAGACAAAAAAGCCTAAACCCTCAAAGAAAACAAACACATTACTTTATATAATTATAAAGACCTAATATATTACGCTTACAGAGTTATTTTAACATAAATAGGGACATCACCATATTAAAAAAAATTATTATGCTTACAAGGACATCGCCATAATAACAAATCTTTTTTGAAGAAAAAATAAATACCGGAGGATAAATCTAGCCTTACCCGAAAAAAAAAAGACAAAAAAGCCTAAACCTCCAAAACAAACAAACTGTTACTTTATATAATTATAAAGACCTAATATATCATGCTTACATGCTACTTTGACATAAATAGGGACATCGTAATCGTAAAAAAATTTACAATAGTTTTCATGATTATAAGGCTCATTGGCCAATCTATCTCCTACAATGTTCTGCTCCCTTCAAACATGAGAAATAATATGATAAGCCATCAAATTTTTGCACTAGCGAATAAGATATATATAATGTCATGGAACAATAACTACCTTCAAAATGGAATTAATAGCAATAAGGAAATTTGAATCTACCAAACTAAAAAATCCTATTAGAAGAAAAAATAAGTAAATGAAGGATAAATCTAGCCTTACCCGAAAAAAAAAACAGAGACAAAAAAACCTAAACCCTCAAAGAAAACAAACACGTTACTTTATATAATTATAAATACCTAATATATTATGCTTACGAGTTATTTTAACATAAATAGGGACATCACCATAATAAAAAAAAATTATTATGCTTACAAGGACATCGCCATAATAACAAATCTTTTTTGAAGAAAAATTAAATACCCAAAGGATAAATCTAGCCTTACTCGAAAAAAAAAAAAAGAGACAAAAAAACCTAAACCTCCAAAACAAACAAACTGTTACTTTATATAATTATAAAGACCTAATATATCATGCTTACGATGCTACTTTAACATAAATAGGGACATCATAATCGTAAAAAAATTTACAATAGTTTTCATGATTACAAGGCTC